TGTTCTTCATATCCTCCAGGAAAACGTCAATGGCGCTTACTACAGGCAATGCATAGATACAATATTTTCCCCATATGCTAGGGCAAGGTTTGGCGATAACTTTGTGTTCCAGGATGAAAATGCCACTATCCACAGTGCGTGTATTGTACGGGACCAAGATGACGTTACAAGATTGCCATGACCAGCAAAGTTTCCAGATTGTAATCCCTTGGGCAGAACTGAGCCGGAAAATTGTTAACCACGAACGTAAACCAGCTACAGTAACTGAATTGCAGCGCCTTTTAGTTACAAGTTGGAATGAAATCACCCTGTATTGCATCAATAACCTAATCGACAGCATGCCACGTTGTAATAGGTGAAACCTGAATTACACATCTTTATACAGGTGTCTGATAACATTGTTTGCTGTTGTAATAAATCGTTCACGATGTCCATAGAACCTGTCTCATTATGCAAATTTAATATAGCGTGCTTTTCTCAGTTTGACAACACTAAGTGTATTTGTATTCCATCTTAATAATAATGATCTTATTTGTTACAAAGTACGTAAAAATTTTGTCCAAGACTGTATAATTGTGCGGTATGTAAATTATAATAATAAAATAAATAAGTCGCGTGGCTCGACGATAACAGCAAGTCACCGATACATAGAGTTTGGGTGAACGATCTCGTAAATAAAGTCTATTTTTGCAACGGTAACCATACATCAGTTGAGTAATAATTGACAAGGGCTAAACCAATAGGCGCTGATTCTTCATTTGGAGGCCGACTGCCTTACAGGAGGTAAAAGAAAGTTCCTTTACAGATATTATCAGTAGCCTCTTGGTATATACTGTCCTGCACATTCCACATTTTTTGCCTTTCTTAGCTAAACCATATGATACTTTGTTTTCCATCAGTCTTATTCCTTCTTAATGTCAACAAAACCCTCCCATCATTGTTGTTTTTGCCTTACTAGTGTATAAGAAGTCTATATCCTGTCAGTAGACTTGTGTGATCCTGTCAGGCTCCTCATTTAGATTTATCCCTGCATGGTCTGGCACACACATCCAGGGTGATGGTTTTTACATGCATTTGCTTTGATTTTTGCCATCTCTTCCAGCCTTTTGGCCAGCACACCATGAGATTTAACGTTAAATCCAGTAGAATAAAATCCTCGGGTTCTTAGAGTTTAATCTCTTAAAAAGTATTGTTACATAAAATTCAGAGAGCTTTTTAAGGTGGTATTTACTTCCCCTGATCCCATTTACATTGGAATAATTTATCATAATGTGAGACTGGCGGAGCCTGGAACACGTTTTTTACACATGCGCTTTTTACCAGCTCAGTGTCTAGGCATCGAATTCCCAGTTCTTCTCTTTCTTCTTCCTGTCAATCAAAGTTCACCCGGGTGGGTGCTGTCTTTAATGAATCGTTGTTTTAGAAAATATATTAACCGATTGCTGTTCAGAAATCTATCCTGTTCCTAATCCTGTCTGCCCGAACAAGGCAGGTTTGTAATGGCGAACCAGTAGTATGTTAGAATGGGGCTGCCATTCTTGAGCTGATCGCATACTGGTTAATAAGGTATAAAGATATCTTCCCAACATTAGAAGCCTCCCTGGTGCAAAATCTTAAGACGAATCAACCCTGTCCATAATCAGTAACAAGATATCTCCATGTTGTTTCCACCCTCTACTAAGAGAGTGTGGCGATGTTTCTTCTCCACTTGGTTATCTGTCAACCAACGTAGTATGTATGTCACTATCTGGCAACGCTTGAAGATCTTAGTGATGTGGGTTATTGATCTCATTCCAGAGATTCGTCCACTCTGACGTTGCACACAGCTATGCTCTAGGTGGCTTAACATTCGAACTAACTTTACCAATAGATTAATTCCTGTCTTACACTTGAAACATTCTACAAGTACTAAAACTTAATTCGAGTAAACTCGAACATTAGATTTATAACTAATCTAGTGGGAGTTCTGAACTTGTATTTACAATGAAACTCATAGCAACTCTAATTGTAATTAAATGAAGCATTATATCTATAACTGACACCTATTATTATTGTACTTATGCCTATAACTGAACACACGATATCAATGCGTGTAACAAAAAGGAAACATACTATAACTCTGAAATTACATCATGTGAACTTGTTTTAAACTTACATAGTTGGTAACTCTGTAATTTACGTGAATGTAATGATATAACCCACAAACAGCAAAGGGATCTAATGCATAACATCATTAATGCATTTTTGTTTCATTCACATCTGTTCACACTTGTGAGAGCTACGCTGGTATATGGGCATGTATAATGGTTTCTTATTAAGACTCGTTAGATGCATGCTAAAGACGTCGTTCTTGGGTCTTTAAAACAGCAAAAAACTAGAAAAGTGCAGATCACGCAGATAAGGAACATCGCCATCAGTTACTCGTACCTTCACTGTATAAGTGTTTCTCATACTTCTATAATCAAGTGCAACACTCGACTGCAGCAGGAAAAGAAAAGTCTTGGTAGTCACTTAACCTCCACACTGGTTTTCTCTTTTTTTTCCCACATATATATTCAACTCACGCCATTACAATTGTTTGGATCTTAGATAAACAGCTCATTGAATTTTGTGTATTTAATGCATATGGGAACAAAGCTAGGTTAATTGAAATACATAGGTTTTCCTTTGTACTGAACGTGGACAAAATCATTTTAATTATAATTTTAAAAATTGTCTATTAACAAAATATGCCGTGCGTGATCCAGTGGTTAGTGTTTCCTAAATTTCAATCCGAGAGGTCACGGCTCATGTCTCGCAACAAAAACGCAATTTGCACTTTGAAGTGGGGATAGCACTATAAAAGTTATCGGCTAAATCTCACTATTCATGAAGACAAGAATAGCTCAAGAGTTGACGGTTGTTGTTGTTAACTAACTGCCTTCCCTCTAGTCTATCAGTTCAAAATTAGGTACGGCTGTACGCACAATGTTAGCTCTTGTGTAGCTTTGAGCCACAATTCTAAAACTGACGACAACATTTACAAAATATCGACCATTTTGTTAAGATAAACTAAATTTTTTTAATATAAATAAACTCTTAAAACAACAGAGAACTCGTGATTATCTCTCGTAACTTTTCAGGTGTTGCTTCTCCGACTCCCTGCAGCACACAGCAAAATAAATCAATAAATCAGTGGTACAACACATGCATAACATTCCTACATCACGTTTAAATATTTGATAGCACTGTTTATTTTACTGGATTAGATTAAGCTATTTCTCACAGTAATTCTTATTGTAATTAAACCTAAACATTAAAAACTTATAATTACCGCATAATAACACTATACTTATAGCCATAACTGAAAACATGGTAAGCTATGTGAATCCCCCCCCAGTGGCACAGCAGCATGTCTGCGGACTTACAACGCTAGAAACCGGGTTTCGATACCCGTGGAGGGCAGAGCACAAATAGCCCAATGTGTAGCTTTGTGCTTAACTTCAAACAGACAAACAATAGCTTGTAGCCTGCAATGGTGGTTGTTCCACTGAAAGCTATGACAGCGGATGTTGTTGTCGTTGTGTCGTGTCAAACTGCTGATAATTCTTGGTAGCTTAGTCTGAATTCATTTTACCCACGTGAAAATAGTTCAAATGTTTCACAACGTTCTTAATCCCAAGTTACTGCTCACTGTTAGAGTTCGTATGTATGTTGCATACAAATATTCTTAAGCTCATATTAACAAAGTGATAACATTCTTACAAAAATATTACTAATGTAAAAAAAAGAAAAAAATTCCAATTGCCCCCACAAAAATATAAGAAACAGAAGAAACGTACTGCTGATCAAGCAATATATTTTACAAAAATTAATTTTGTGGTGAATAACTGGTTTGCAAAGAAAGTCCAGAAAGCTGCTAAGCAATATCGTGACTGATATGCTATTCAATTTCATTTATTGTTTCTTAGCTGTCCTGCAATCTGTCTATTGAACTTCTCCACAGCTTTTTTTACGTTTGGTGTTTGTTTGATACTATAAATATACATACAAACAAGACATAATATCCCAAAATAGAAACCTAATTAACAACACTATCCAGAAAACAAATCTGATGTCACATGACCTATTCAGTAAACTCAGTATATGATTTTGAAGTTTTATTCCTTCAAAAGAAATGTACGTTTTAGTAGAGTGTAGTTACTGTCTGTTCGTTAGATGCGCGGCATGGTCAGGTGGTTAGGGCGCTTTACTCACAATCTGAGGCGAGTTCGAATCCCCGTCCTACCAAACATGCTCGCCCTTTCAGCTATGGGGCATTATAATGTAACGGTAAATACCCCTATTCGTTGGTAAAAGAGTAGCCCAAATCTCATTATTCATGAAGGCAAGAATAGCTCAAAAGTTGACGGTGGGTGTTGTTAACTAACTGCCTTCCCTCTAGTCTGTGAGTCCAAAATTAGTTACAGCTGTACGCAAGCAATTCGCCTATGTGTAGCTTTGAACCAAAGTTCTAAAACTGACGACAACAGTGGATTTTATAGTGCGGTACGCGTTTTGAGGCAGCGGGATACAAACCTTGAACCCTCAGATTCACAGTGAAGGCATATTAGGTGACGTCCAGCATTATAAACAGTGTTTAAAAGGTAATTTTCCTAAACTGTACTCGTCATTCCTCACTTGCGTGACTAGCTACTCTCGTCAATTGTGAGCATAATATATATATATATATGAAGTAAAAAATCTTAGATTACTTATGAAAGCCTAAAAATCGCGTATATGTGTTTCATATAGTTGTTCTATCAAGCTAATTGATAGAAAGTTATAGTTTGAATTTTAACATCAGATAAACCTGATTCAACGCGTTCAATACATCAGAGCTTGCGACACTGCTCCTTCAATACATATTTCATCGTAAATTTTGTTATTATTATTGTTCCTTTTGCCAGTATCATATGGATTAAAGCTATCATTATTCCATCTTTTTTTTATCGTGTGTTACTTATGCTCTTTTATATCAGTTTCCTTACCTAAATCTCAGACTTACACAGGTACCATTCTCGTTGCTGTGAACCCGTACAAAGAACTCGACATTTATGAAACGGTAAGTTTCGTGCACTTTTCTTCGTTCAATTATTTTAAATATTATTGTGTTTAAAATCAACATCTTTCAAACACTCACTGATAGTTTTATTCAAATTATGGTTCAGCATAAGATGTATTTTCTATGTGAATATATATATAAGGACAGACTTATCATCAGTAATCTGTATTTTACACAAACTTCAAGAGTCTGAAGTACTTTGCCAGTTTTTCTGCCGCTTATCTCTCTCATACATTTCAATTTGTATTTAAATATATGTTTAAGTTCTTTACGTTGTGGGAAAGAGAAAATGGCAAAATTCCAATTGAAAACCGAGCCCGATGAATTTGTTTTGTGGCTTTTATACGAACGCGTGACTCATTACACGTTATTACTTCTAAAATTGACTTGTCATATTTCCCTCTTCTCTGCTTTTCTAATCCTCCCATCCACTGATTGCCATACCTGATTACCTGTTCGATCCGCAGTGTGTGCTGAGGGCTCTTAGATGACACCGGTTTATAGATATTTAAGTGAAACAGTCATTTCTATTATATTCAGTATTTCAGACTTGTTGGATTTATCATAAACTCTTAAATTGTTCTCTTGTTTTTATAAATTCTCAGCACCTTAATTTCCACAATATGCACAGTATTATTTTATCTTTTTTTTTTCTTTTCGTACGTTCGTTCCAATAACACTTCAAAATTGTGATGTGATAGTTTTAAAATTTTTATGGATATATTTCACGTCCCGTTAATACCAAAAATATGAGAAATAAAATCGCTCTCCACACTCTGGGGTCGTAAGTGTGTTATGAGAGTGACGGTCAAATCCCACTATTCGATTAGATTAGTCTACGAGTTGGTGTTGGGCGGTATTGATTAGCTGCCTTCCTTCTGGCCTTTTACTTCAAGTAAAATTAGTTAATATATCTTACAGCCAACTAGTTTCGGTAAACGTGTTACCGAAACTAGTTGGCTGTAAGTTATATTAGATAATTTTACATATTACTTTGTAAAAAAAACACATCGTTTTTGTAATTTTTACTCTTAATATACCAGCACAATGTGTCTTAAAAGAATTATAAAAACATTTATAATTATTGGGAATGCTATAATTTTGAAACACAAGTAATTTTATAGTTATAAAGAACCAAATAATAAATGACTAACGAAACAAGGTGCTCAAACTGTGAAAAATATTTCCTTTATATTCGTTCATTATTGGTAACGATATACTTTATTTCTATTTATATTATCTTATTTTAAAAGCAGAGAATCGAACATGCAATAAAAAGATATACATATAATAAATTCGTTATTTTTATTCTTTTAAAGTACAATTCAGCAAAATGTCAGAAGATAGCACTACTCTATTACAGAAACTTGCAGATGCAGCACAGCCTAGAGATATGGAATGGAAACGAAAGAGACATGTGCGCGGAATTTATATAGGCTGAAGTGCGCAATCATATTCGGTGTTCTGAAGCGCCATATTTAAACTTAAAGTAAAAGCTATACAGTGCTTTGGTTGGGAGGAAGAGGTCTCAGAGTACCTGACCCTCCTAGGTCACACGACCTAAATTCCGATCAGGAGATCAGGCAGTGCTTTGGTATTTTTTACAGTTTTATAGTATTTGTATGTCAATATTCATGAAAGTAGTGAAATATGTTGTCGTTGGTTTATATTGGCATTAAAGTTTAAACGATTCAAAATAATTTCAGCAAACATCACTATTGCTTTGTAACGATAAACAAATCGTATGTCAACTGCATTTTCAAATTTCAGTGTTTATCAAGGCAAAAGATCCAAGTAAGCCTAGATCTAATAAATTAATAAATATAATAATGTCAGTGTTAACAGTGAGGGTAAGTTACTGTACTAGACTGTACCAGATCTGTTGTATCACTATGAAATTAGACGCCTAGGATCGAGCAATACTAGAATAGTTCTGGTGGTAGCAATGTTAGTCGTCAGCTTAAATAGATTATTTAGTATTACAGTAATATCCCCCGAAAGGGGGCCATGGGCCACCTGGAGGGGGTCACCTGTTTTAACCATTCACACCACCATATAGGAGTGTGTTGTCTGACTGTCTGTCAGCCACTAGATACTAAAATGACGTCACATAAGGGACACTTAAGTTGCAATTTGTACCGTCGTGACGTCAGTAAAATATATGCATACCATGAATTACCAGAAGAATTATGCATGACACAGCATGACATATGAACTTCAAAAGCAAGAAATGAAAATATTTGTTTCATTATATTATTATGTCACACGCACTCCAGTCTATTAAACTCGTCGTATGCGTATAATATAATATAAGATGTTTTGTTATTTATAAATGTTAACACTTTTACATGCTTTTCTTTACTTTTGTTATTTATGAAATCTTCCAATATAATTCACATGAAAGATGTAATTAATTTAAGTTGAAATTTGAATTCCTTAAAGGGAAATAGGCTATGTATTGTTAGGAGAACAAATATACATACAACACGTTCTTGATGTATCGAAATTCACTTCCCAACATTTTAGTGCAGAAGTGCAATGACATGTTGGTCTGGAAAGCACCATGATTATTAACCATAAATAACCACAAAAACACAGTATGTTCTTACTTTTGATGTTGTACAGTACCAGTCTGTGCAGAAGAAAAGTAGCAGTATTAATAGTACAATGTATATTGTATTCATATGATAATGTGAGGTAAAATAAAGTTTACTCTTAAAAATTGTCAGGTATGAAATGTAAATTAAAGTCAAGCAGTACACAAGATTTTATTGTTTTAGTAAGTCTGGTATGATTATCTTGATTTTTGTATCTAGAACTGGGTGTATAAATATAGTGGACAGAAGATTGGATACAATGAACCTCATGTGTTTGCTATTGCTGAAGCTGCCTACAGCAGTCTTCAGTCTATGGCTTGTGACCAAGCTTGTGTTATTAGTGGAGAGAGTGGAGCAGGCAAGGTAATTTTTCACATTATAGTTATTCAGTACCTTTTCAAATATTTTAATAGAATTAATTGTTATTTCTGTGTTCTAAAAGTTGGACAACAAGGGACCATTTGGTCCTTCACTGCTCTCTCTCAGAACACCCATCCTTAAGAAACATATATTCAATTAAAGTAATTACCAATACTGCAGGTTAAATTTGAGGACTTTATTTGTAGTCTTACTTACTTGTTAGATTAAATGCAAACACTATAATTTACTGTAAAGGTATTGTTTATTTTGCTGACAAGATTCATTTTGCTGTTTAATTGATAATCTTGAAATTTAATTTATTTATCAGATGTATTGGTTATTAGAACTACATTGTATTTTCTGTGAATTATGTAATCAACTGCTCTATTTACAGTTTAAATTATTGAACTTGGTCAGAAAAGACTAAAACTACAGAATAATGTATCTTAGTATGGTATTGGGCATGTAATGGAATTTCTAGTTGCAAGATAATTTTATATGGGATGATTTGTTTAACATAAGAACATTTTATTCCTTTGTGTTAATCCTAAATCTTGAAATATTTACATTTATGAAAAACACTGTTAAAGTACAGATAAACAAATTTGTGTATACTTTGAGACTTGTACAGATTGAATGGTTTTTGTTTTCTTGAAATTAACTCTTTTTAATTATTAAAATAAAATACTAAATTTTTAGCAAATGTGTGATAATCAATCAGTCTTTAATAAGAGTGTTTAATGTATATGTATGGTGTTTTTTAGACAGAAAGTACCAAATTCATTCTTCAGTACCTGTGTACAGTCACAACAAATATTTCCACGTGGATAGAACAACAAATTCTAGAAGCCAATACTATCTTAGAAGCTTTTGGTGAGAAAATCTGGTTAATTTAGATACTGTTATATTAAGCATTATACTTCTTAGAATATCCTAAAAACTGTGTGCATTATATAGCAGACATAACTTGTTTTTAATACTCAGCAATATTTATTGTGTAAAACGACATGCTTTTTAATATTTACCATCTTATGTGTAATACAAACATAACATGGTTTACAGCATTTACTGCCCAAATTGTATGATAGACTAACAACATGCTTCATAGCATTTACTGTCTGAGTTTTATAACAGACATAACAACATGCTTTACAGTATCTGAGATATGTGATAAGTAATTGCATTGTAGATATGTAATTATGAAAAAAGTAATGCTAGTTACATTTTATAATAGCTGACAAAGAAAATGATAATTACAATATACATAGGAATGTCATAAAAATAAGAATAAATAAAACATTTACTCAAGTGTATAAGCAATTAGTGTATTTTGTTGAAAAGAAAAGGAATGGTATTTAAAATATTTCTGGTATATGTACAATTTATAACTATAAAGAAATATGTAATAGGATATGATCTATTAATTTCATAATGAGGTATTGCAGACAATGTTCTTCATTCATAAGTTAATATCACATTAAATACACAGGTAGTTCATTCATTTCAGGAATATCATATCATCTAAATTAATAAAGTAAGATATTGTGGTTATTCCAAATCTCAGTATTTTCCACTAAATAAATGTATTGTTTTCAGTTTAAACTGAAATACCTAAAATTAATGCCTCCTTCAACTAATATATTTAGTGAATGACTGATATTCTTTATGGTTAAACATGAATGATAAATGCTTAGTGAAGATACAAAGGAAACGTTTCTCATCAGTAAACACTTTCAAATTAATCCTACAGAGTTTTATGCAGCAAACTGATTAGGCTAAAAAGTAATGTGTTTGCTTATGTTTTTAATTGACAAAAATTGAAAGGAAACCCTTAAATAACACATAGTTTTGTGTTAAGCTGCATTTCACTACTTGTAATGGACCTGTAAAACAATATTTCAGGAGTACTAAATTTTGTAAAAATATGTATGTAAAAAACACTAAAGATTTTATGTGTAGATTTATAACTTGTGATGTATAATAAGGAAGTTAATTACATCAAAAACTAAAAATAACTAGAAATAAGGCATCTACTGTAGTATGCTGCCAATTCAAGTCAAAATTTCTTGATTTTTTTTTAACCTCCTGTACAATAATTTAATAATTTCTACAGGTAATGCAAAAACAGTTCGTAATGACAACTCCAGTAGGTTTGGAAAGTTCATTCAAGTTTGTTTTGACTCACGATATCAAATCAATGGGTGCATAATTCAAGATTACCTTCTAGAGCAGTCTCGTATCACATTTCAATCCCAAGAGGAGCGCAATTACCATGTATTTTACCAGTTTGTTGCTGGAGCCCAGAAAAATGCAGAGCTCTGTGAACGTTTTATGGTTGGGCCTCCTGAATCATATACCTACCTTAACCAAAGTAGTTGTATCAAAATTAGTGGTGTGGATGATGCTGCCATGTTCGATTCACTGCGTCTAGCCATGTCAGTGCTTAGTGTTCCTTATGAAATGTGTGATGGAATCTTTAGTGTTCTCAGTGCTATATTGTGGTTAGGAAATCTTCAGTTTTCCGATGTGGATGGAGAAAGGTGTGAATTAACACTAGCTGATGAAGATGTAATTATGACAGTTTCAACATTATTAGGAGTGGAGACAGAGGGGTTAACTCAAGTTGCTCTCCAGCGACAAATCAATGTTCGAGGGAATGTAACTGAAATTCCATTTAAACTAAATGAGGTATGTAAAGCGTGTTTTATTTTAATACATTTTAGAATGGACTTTGGATTATACATTGTATAAGTAAACTTCACACATTATCAGAAAAATCAGCTTTGAGAAAAACTGAAAATGGAAAGTCCAAACTAAGTGATGATATTCTTTTATTGCTATTGCTTTAAAAATAAATATACAATTAACTGAAAATTGACAGATGTTATATACATATATGCATTATTAGAGTGTAGATAATAATCCTAATATTAATAAAAACATAAACATCAATGATTCTGTTATACAGTTTATTAGAAATAGTACAAGAGAACAGCAAAAGAGCATTGGATCTTGAAGTTCTAGCTTAGTAGGTGTTGACTTACACTTTTGCTACATCTTATTTGAATTTACTTGTTCTTGAGATATCAACTGTCATTTTCACTGCTATAATAAAAACATATAACATTTTGGGATTTTGACCTATGATCTAATTTCAATCAAATCAAATTGATTGAGCCTTGATTAATGTGCTAACTATGTGTGATTTTACCTAATTTAGCCCAATCTAACAATTTGTTTCAGAAAATCTTTCACATATTAATGTATACAATAGGAAAAGCAATGTTTCTGATACAATACATAACCTTTTTTCACATTTTTCTTAATTTTCTTTACCTTCCTTTTTCTATTACATTATGTTTTTCCTCATTCTCAAGTTTACTTTGGTGCTGGTATACTTTGTCCTTCTTGACTAGTTGCACATTTGCCTTGGCTTACAAGTGAACTGAAGTCATTTTCTTGGACCTCCACACTCTGGAGTCTTCTTCAGGTTTGGGTTTCTGATCCATTGTCTCTCTCAAGCTTGGTTTTCTTGCCTCTGCCTTACCCTCACTACCCTTTTACATAATCTATGCTTCATCCATCTCCATTTGGAAGCAATCCACCACTCCTCTAACAGTTTGTGAAAGCTTCTTTTTCTCTTCCTTTTTCTGCATTGGTGCATTTTTCTTTCTTGACCTTGTCTCTTCTCACTTGGTTACTCTTTCCTGGGATTTGTTGGGGAAGGACACCCTTCTTGCCCAAGTATGTTTACATCACTCTTATCTCAGGGACCTTTGTCTGGCTCCTTTACTCTGCCAATGGTATTTTGGAGGGGTACTTGGTTCTGAGGCCTTGTGCCGACATTCTTCCATGACTTCCCTTGTGTCCTGTCTTTCCCAAGTTCCTTATTCAGTTTGTGTTTCCTATTCTCTTGATTCTTTTGTTCTTCCATTCTGTTCCTCTTTTCCCATCCATAAGTTTCAGCACCGACAGTCTCATCAGTGACTATTTTCTGGGCCCAGGAACAGTGGGAGCATATTTTGCTCGATTCATGGATTATGGATTCTTTTTGTGGCCAACCATTGGGATAAACAGGTTCTATCCATTAGCTTTACTCATTGTTTTTCCTCTCCTTCCATTTGTCTCCAGTTCCCATTCCTTTTCCTCCTCCTCCAGGGGATCCTGTCTCCCACCAGTGTCTGTTTAAGGAGATGTCAAACCATTTAGCCAAGGATGCTCTATTGAAAGGATTTTATTCCCATTAGTTTGTAATTTTCCAGCACACCAGGTATTGATGTCCAGTTATCAATCTGTCCCTTCTCTGGCAGTTTCTCAACCTTCATCAGTTTACTGTGATGAGTCTTCTCCCCTTCCAATGGCCTTTTTCTCCCAGGCTTTGGATGACCAAGGTCAACCTCTCTTATGCTTATCTTCACATTCCCCTCTCCTCAGCACTCAAATTTTATCTTCAGTCTGTACATCATGGTTGAGCTTATCAGTTCTGAGCTCCTCCTTTTGACCTGGTGTTGGCCCCATATGTTTTTCTGTTGCATAATGCAAGTCTTTGATTATCACATTCACAACTTGGGAATGAGGTTATACCATTATATGGCCAACTGGCTTCTTTTAGTTCCATCCCAACAGGACTCCTCTGACCATATTTTTCTCCTTCTTTAGGAGATGGCTCATATATGTTGACCAGACAGGCTGGCAAAATCTTTCACACTCCCAGTATCTGGTGTATTTGGGTGTGTTCTTTTCTTCCTATCTCAGTAAGGCACAACTTTCATCACTGTGTTTGTAGGCCATGTATGGTTTCATTTCCACAGCTCTATCCTCTCCTTCTCTTCCAGTGCAAGAAATTCTCTATCTATATGGGACTTGGGCTTCCTTGGAACCCTTTTGGATGTGCTCACGTGCATTTTGTACTCTGGACTCTACATGCTCAATGGAATCTCTTGGGATCACATTTTTGCAGTGGTCCCTCAATTCTTGTGTTTTGCAATGGCATTTGTCTTGTCTAAACACTCCTTACATCGATATCTTTGCCACTTACAAAAACAGAAAGTTTCCCCTATTAGGGTGTCCTGTTCTGCATGCATTGGCACTGGTGGTGGATTCATTTAGTCAGAAATAGTCCGATCTTTCTGCTTACTCTCTATGCATCTCCTCCCTCGAGTTCTCTGCCTCATTCAGGACACTCCTTGTCGGGTTCTTATGTGGCAAGCTATTGGTCAGTTCAATCATGGTTTCCTCCTCTTCTGCTCTTCCACTCTCTACTTCTTCAGTTTTTTACTTCTCCTTTCCATTCACCTGTGTTACCAATCTGGCTTTGGGCATGGGATTTGTCAATTCTGATGTGTACGTTATTAATGTCTCTAATATTATATTCCATCACTCCTATATTCTTCTCTTTCTAGATTGTGCTTTTCTCCCTAAAATGTCTGTGGCTTTCACCCCTATATCTTTTCCTTCCATTCTCATCTTTATTCCAATTGTTATTTGGCCCACAGATCATGGTTCCTGATCCTGTCTCTTCCTTCCATGGAATTCTTCATCCACTCACGACCTTTCTCCTGTTACTCTCACTGGATGGGTCTGATACCTTGTCCACTTAGCATATTCTTTGTTGGATGGAGAAGCATGTCTGCATTTCCAAGTGTCCTTTATCAAATTTGTCACCTAACTTACTCATTGGCTTTTCATTTCTGTTGTCTGTTAGGGAAGACTGTTTGAGCTGGCATGTAGATGACCCCTAACACCTTTGGTGCATCAAATATTCATTATCTGGCTGTTTTATCCTCATCCTGCTATGGACTGCATTTGGCCACTATTCTTCAAATGTCATATCGTTTCTCACTGGGTAATTATTTTTTCTTACCCTCTTTTTACATAGCCCTCTAGTCCCTTATAGGATCCAGCTCAGTGGCAAGTGTTGCCTGCCAGAACATACTTAACTAAAAGTGCTCATTTTCCTAAACAAGGCCCAATCCAGACAATATGCATGTATCGACTAGCATCAATAAAGCAGGCAGGGGATTCCTGCCCATCCTCCGTGCCTAGTTTAAAACCTAGTGCTGGCCTGCTTTGTGGTCATCTGTTGCACTGTCTTAGAGTGATGTGCCCCTCTGAACATTCAACCATGTTTTCACCCCTCCTTTTTTTCTTCTAGTGCAGCATGAGAGTCCTTGCCACTCACCAGTTCCTAGCTACTGGGGTGATGGACCATGGAGCATGCTTCCTGAGTGTGACCAATTCCACTCAGTAGAAAGTAGGGCAATGCTGTTCTGCCATGTATTACAATTCACCCCCATCCTGCCATTACGCAGAAGTCAGGTTCCCAGGTTGTGTGGTATTGGATTGGTGCATGACTAGTTAATATTAAGCCTTACTCAATTGTATGTTGAATGTTACTTTCCCTTTCTACCTTATTGGGATTGAGGTGAGGGTGGTAGTGACCCCTTCCTACCATGGCCCAGAAGCCAAATTACCAGTGTTGTCTGATTTTGGAATGGAGTTGCTATACTACACATATAACTTTTCCAAAAGCTTGATGAAGTTTTGGACTGTGCTTGTATCTTCCTCCTATCCTTGCAACATTTCCATTCCTTTCAGGGCGATGAATACACCTTGACACAGATGAGGTGCAGTCTCCCATGAGTGTGTCCCTATATTGTTCTGAGGTATAAGGTGTTTCACTCAATAGATTCTCTTCTGTGCTTTCTGAAGGGAGCTCATTTAGCTAAAATTTTGCATTGGCCCCTCCTCCACATGGAATTCTAACTGGATGTAAGCGGAGGTTACATATCATGTCGGAAGTTAACTTTTTTCAACACTGAAAATGTATTTCTGATAGATACTCATCTCTTCTCATACTTCCCATCCTTCCTCCCCACTTCTGGTGCATCTTACTCTCTTGCTTACTCTCAATGCAATGATTGAACTTTCAATACAGAGGGAGCCAGTTGCACTAGGAGGCGGTGTTGCAATTCTGTTGGTGGAAGGTTGTCACATGCTCATTTGCATGGAACAATGCAGCAATATCATGTGGAAAAACTGAAGATTTGTGAAAGCCTCAAGAATAGTGCTGAGAAAAAAGTCCAGTTACAGAGGGCTGCACTAAATTGGGAAAAGTTAGATGTATCTATTGGAAAATATGAACATTTGCCAGTTTTAGTTTGAGGTAATATCTTTGTTAATCAATCATACAGGCCTGTGATGGTTCTATTGTCTTGAACTTTTTAAATTTTTTACAGTAATTCGTGTACGCTGAATTAGAAAATGATATCCAT